AAACATAAAACTAATCATTTATATAAAATTATGTAATGCTGTGTTTGTTTATCCACATTCGAGATGTGGATTTTTGATTACGTGATTGAGAATTGATTTAAATGTAGATTTAATAAACAACCACTATAAATGTAGTGACCACCGATCACGTGGTAAAAAAGGCAATGACAAATATTATCTACGCATGTCGTCAATGAAAACGGAAAATCTAAACCAAACAATCATTTTTGATCGTATGCATTTAGAGATAATAGGAGACGTCACTACTAACAAATATCGTGCCTTCCTGAATAAAACATATTCTAAGGGACACAGGAGGATATAATATTCGCTGTTGTCATATGCCTATTTCATTATTCTCGTTTTGTTTACAAAATTATTTACATATATTAAAAAAGCTAAAATAATCTATTTTATTACAACTGAACCCAACAAATTTTGAATCATTAGATATAATAACTTTCAATAAATTCAAAAACCTAGTCATGTTGGGTTAGAAGTGGCAACAGGGCTTACACCGGCATGGATATTTACGTTGTCTATTATAAGCGCACAGCGTCTTACACATTTATTCATTGATAAAAAAAGTATCTGCGTAAAATTCTTCTCTTTATCCCCTCTTACTTCTCACCTTTCGTCTTCTCACCGTGGACCTACAAATAGAGTGTTATGATTATCGACTTAATCTTGGCATCGTGAATATTATATTTTATCAATGAATGGCTATATCTCTGTTATCTCCATGCATACGACTATGCAAGCTTATTCTTCACGAAAATACTATCTTGAATTGAAAATTGACAAGTTTGACAATTCCCACATCAACATCTTATTTTAAATACAGACGTAAAAATCTGATGTGTCCAACACATGACTTTCCTATCTAGTTATTATAGGCATTTTCCGGTTATTTTGTACAACCTATTGCAGCATCTCTATAAATGTTTAGAGGATAAACTAAATATATACATTTTACACATACATCTACCTCGAAACATTTTTTTATAGATATTCATTGAAAACGAAAATACAGAAAAATTTAAATTTAGCACTTTTCCATTACGGTCCATTTTAGAAAAATCATGTATAAACAAAAATTATAGAAATCGATATCGCAAACAACTTTTAGTTCAACAATTTTCATAAAAATCAGAATTTTGCACATTTTGTCAAATTTCTCGAATACGGACCATTTCAGAAAATTTTGACATAAAGCAAAAATTATAGATAAAAATATTAGAAGTAACTTTTATTTGAACAATTTTCTTCTCCAAACATAAATAACAGATATATTCCATAAAATATAAAAACGGCCTCCCATAAAGTACCCCCCCAGATGTTCCGACTTTGTCCAAAATCTAATCATTTCACGTCAGGCCGAAATAAACCTTAAGTTTAAAATTTAATGTTTTTTCCTTTATCCGTTTTTGAGTTTTCTTCAAATTTCGAAATTTACACATTTTCTCAAATATCTCGAATACGGTCCATTTTAGAGAAATTATGTATAGGACAAAAATTATAGAGAATTATATTACAAACAACTTTTATTTGAACAATTTTTAAAAAAAAATATTTTTTTTACATTTTGTCAAATTTCTCGAATACGGACCATTTTAAGAAAATTTTGCATGAAACAAAAATTATAGATAATTATATTAGAAGTAACTTTTATTTGAAGAATTTTCTTCTCCAAACGTAAATAACAGATATATTCCATAAAATATAAAAATGACCACCTATAAAGTACCCCCCCAGATGTTCCGACTCTGCCCAAAATCTAATCAGCTCATTGGATGCTGAAACAAAGCTTAAGTTTAAAATTTGGTGTTTTTCTGTGTATCGGTTCATGAGTTATGCGTTATACAGACACACACACACACACACACAGACACACAGACACACACACACACACACACACACACACACACACACACACACACACACACACACACACACACACACACAGACATCATCGCGAAAATAGTCAAAACGGATTCAGGGGACCTCAAAACGTAAAAATCCGTCGAAAACTCGAGGTCGAAAAAAATCATGATTCCTATACTTTCCTTATATCTGTATACAGATAGGAAAGTAAAAACTGTAATCTGGACAGCTACGTCACGAATAAACAAACTCAAATGGAGATAGAGCAGATGTGTCCGATGAAAATAAACAAACGTTGGAGAGGTAAAAAATGCATCGGAAATGGGTATTCAAATATAGCAAATACACTCTCAAAAAGATATAACTATTATACCGAAAGCCGCGCGAAAACTTGGGATGCTTTATTTCTCATAAAATATATGTTAGAATCTTGAGTTTTTTGAGTATGAAACACTTACTTTTTATACCACTACCCCTTACCACTTTGCCCCAAGCAAGTAAGTAAAAATTTAAATAGGCACCCTATATAATATAAAGAATTATGAAGAGCACACTTTTTTGAGTGAATAAATAGTGGCCAAAAATGAGCTGGAGACTACAGGAAAGAAACCAGAGTTGGTAGAAAGACTTAAACTAGAAATAGAAAGTGACGGTTTAGATCCGGATACGTAACAATTTTCAGATGATGCATCTTCTGCTATAATTTCTTCAATTTATTCCAATATGAACAATGAAATCGCTTCTTTAAAAAAAAAGAAATGTCATCCGATATGAATTCCATAAAAACTGAAATTACTACTCAAATTTCTTCTGACATTTCTTCTTAGACATTAAAGTTTATTTCCTGGAAAATAAAGTCTCTTACGATACATCTTCTTTAAAAACCAAAATTTCTTCTAAAATGTCTTTTATAAAAACTGAAATTACTGCTGATATTTCTTTCATAAAAAATTATATCTTTTTGTGAGAAGAAAAGGTGTCTTCTGAAGTGCCTTTTATTTAAATTAAAGTCTCCTCTGATTTTATAAGAAACGAAATTTCTTCACTTGAGGAGAAAATGAAAGAGATGGACTGGAAGATAGAGGAACTGGAACATACAGGACAGGCCAAAGACGGTGAAATAAAGTGCAATAAGGTGGAGTCAAAGTTAAAATTGGAAGGAGTTGTAAATTCTACCCGTGCTAAAGCCCCAACTTTCAACGGGAAGAGTTCATATAACAACTACCTTAAAACAAATGGCCTACTAGAGAAAAAGCAGTAAATTTTACCATCGCCCTTCGATGAGATGCTTTAGATATTCTTTAAACTGTATCTGTGGAAGAGACAGATGACTTTGAACAACTTAAAAAAAATAAACATACGATATGGCCACTAACACTTGGATCTTTTATACCAATCACAGTTAAAGAATCACAAACAGAAACGTGACTAGAACCTTCAAGAATATGAAGTAGATATTGCCAGGTTGGTGCGATTTGTGTGAATACGAAATGCAGAAAACACACCACCTAACCCGTCACAAAACATTGGTCGTTGTCTTGTCCGCTGCTCTAGAGTATGAAGCGCAGCTACGCAGGCTTCTGGAGGATACAGTAAAATGAGGACTAAAAGAAGAAGTAGTGAAAAATAAACTCGACCAACTGGTTAACATAATGAAGAGCTTTACTGAAAAAGGTTATATACGCAGTTCGTGCAAACGCCCCAGGATCACAACAAATGAAAACAACACGCTGCAAGGAAAACGTAAGTAGGTCGGCCTAGAGAAGGAAGCTTCGACCCGGAACTGTTTCAAAGATCCTCTCATAGTGATAGTCTTTTTGAAACGTCGCGGTGATAGTATATACGTAGACGGTGAAGTAAATGTTAAGAAGTTGGTGGTAGATACTGGAACAACTAGTACCATTATACGACCATAAATAACCGCACGAGACTTCTACCAACAAGATTAGAACTGCTGACTGCCACAGGTGAAAGTGCTAACATCTATGGGGAAATTCAGGTTCAATTCGAAATTGGTACAGCAAAGTTCACTCATACTGTCATTGGCGCTGATATCGAAGATCTTATACTTGGAATGGCTGTAATAAACTTACATGGTTTCCAGTTGGATTTTAAGAAAAAAATCTACAAAGTTGGTGCCGAAGAGGTATTCCTTCGCCCATATGGGGACATTACCGAGCCAGTAGCTGTACAGGAAGAACCAAATTTTTACAGAATAGACCTCTTTTCCAGATATTTATAAAAACTGTAGTTTTTTAGAAATAAAGATTGAATTGAATTTAGATGAGACTTCAAGGAAGCCCTTTCCCTTGGCTACACCACTGGATATTATTGTTTTACCTTTTATTCAGCAGTAAAACTAAATATCACAAATGGAATGTTAAAGAATAGTTAAAATGAATTGGGTTCCATTGTGAAAAAAATAAAACCGTAACGAATAATGAAAGAGCGTGCATGGATTGAGTATTTTGTAATGGCTTGCATTATACAAATGTCAATTTTAGATCAGATTTTGATTTATTTCCTTTATGTTCCAACCCGTAATAAACTTGATATGTGTAATAACATTCAAACTAGGCCAGTTTTAACCATATCACCCTCCAATGTGGTCAGTCATGTATGGCAGCTTATCAGATACCTAATATGATGGTTTATTTGTTCTGATAATCTTGAATGTGCTGATCGTTTATCATTTTAGTAGCAGCTAATGTCTTTTTAGATGATAAAAATTCCAACACCGATCTTTTGTTTCCTATCTTCCGATACTGATTTTTATTATTGAAATTTGCGGCTTTGATAATTCGCCAAAAGTTTATTTTCATGCAAGAATTACTTATTATATTAGGTACGCAGAATATGTTAATACAATATAAGGTTAAAACGTAGAACAAATGGTTGAAAGTTGTGCTTTTATGTATTATTGAATACTGAATACGAATATGTAAAAAATATTTAGAATTATAATTAAGATTAAAGCATTTCTTTTCTATTCTATTCTAATGATTTATTCAAGAATAATATCTAAATTGGCTTTATAATTGATTCTTTCAGAATGCTACAGAAAATGTTTGAACCGTCTTTTTCTTTATTCAAAAAATGTTTTTCTTTAATTTCAGATACGAACAAGAAAGCAAAGTGCAGTTTGTCGTCGATGCTGTATACGCTTTTGCGTTGGCCCTTCACAATCTGTATGAAGATCTATGCAAAGATTACAACCAATCTGGTGTTTGTCCTGCTATGACCCAATTCGATGGAAGTGACTTTTATAAGAGATATCTACTCAACGTGTCTTTCATTGGTAAATATGAGCAATTACTATTAAAAGCTTTTCGTAATCAAGTAATGTAATGATTTGGAAATAAACTTTAATAAGCAGAACTGTACATACAATAACTAATATGGATGAGCCGCCGGTAACGCCTCGTAATATGAGTACATAAGAAAAGGTAACAATTTAAAAATAATTTCAATTATACAGGGTTCTCCAAGAAAGTGATACTTATCAAAGTTAGGTTTTTTTAAATAACAATATTAAATAGTATAAAATTATATAGCGTATTTTACATGCTATAATCAGTTTTATGTGAAAATCGTATGGATTTCAATGACCTGTATAGTGCAAAAGAAACAGTTAAAAACAATTTTTTGCGCTAAAAAATTTTCGATATTAGTCAAAATGTATGTCAATGCACTACTTATTTCAATTAGAAACAAATGTGTACAGGATGAGTCAAAAATCAAATATATAATTTTCCATTTTTTTTAATATCACCATTTAAAAGTACCTTAATTAAAGTTTAATTTGAGTTAAGCATTCCCTATACCTATAGTAAATAATTTTGAAAGCTATTTAAATTTAAGTAGAAATAAAATTCACAAAATTCTCTAATTTTAATTGGTCACTGGTTAATAGGAATAGACTGTTAATTAAAATGAAATAAAAATTGCATAGCCAATTTTATTTTTAAAAGAGCTTTCCAACAAGGTGCCACAAGTAGTATTATCCCATTTAAAAAATTAAGTGGGGTTAGGTTTCACTCCTTAAAAGGGGTGAAAAAACATATTTTTAATATGACTGGTAAGCCCACAAAAACCTCAATTGGCCTTTTATTACGTTTTATTCAACTATTTTATCCTGAGGCTCTAGAAAATTAGTTCCAAATAAAGTCCCCACCCTGTAGATTTACTTCCGTGCGTCCGATGTCACGTTTTTTGTCCGCACCATAAGTCAAAAACTTGAAAATTTCAGGAAAAATCAAGCCCTTTAAGGGAACGAATCCTATTACTTTTGAAAAAAATCTGAAAAATGGGGGTTACGGGGGGGTTGAAATATTCAAAATTATCCTAACTCAAAATTGAAAAATGATATCAACTTGACTTTTTTAACAAAAACCAAGCTCTATAAGGGGACTATTAACTTTGAAAAAATCTGATTAGGGGGGGGTTGAAATTAAGAAAAGATCATAAATCAAGAACGAAAAGCAATATTAGCATGAATTCAAGCTCTATAAGGAGATGAGGTCTACTGATTCTGAAAAAAATTTGAATAAAATGAAATATTTAAAAAAACCCTTCCCCAAAAACGAACAATAATATCAACTTGAAGATTTTGGCAAAAATAGGAATAAATAAATAAATAAATATGGGGAGACAAAGGGGTTGAAACATTAAAAAAATCCTAACTCTGAAACAGGAAACGATGTCAAATTAAAATCTTCAGGACAAATAAGGGGATTAAAAATGGGGGTTAAAAGAGTATGTGAAAAATATAATAGAGAATGCCAAGCTTTATATATCTTCATTCTAGTTTTTTATCTGAAATGTATATTTATTTTTAAAAAATCGTGAAAACGCTAATGGCTACTTGCTTGTGGAAGGACCTTGATGATACCTTTTCATATTTATGTTTACAAACTACACAAATCCTCTCCATTCTGAAACAAGTCAATTTTCATTCCAAAGGGGACACATTTTTACAATACAAACATCTGTCATGTGTCAACCCACTCCCTTCCACTTCTCCAACCCCTTTTAAATAGGAAATATATCATGTGTGGCACATCATTAGAAAGATATTGCAGTGGACTATTCAGGCATATGACCATCTACGACTTTTTTTCGATATGTTTGTAAAAATAGTTTTGATTTAAACAGAGTCAATAAAATAGCCGGTTTGGGTTTTTTGTTCAAAAATTTTTCTGAGGTAGACACATTTTTAAAAGTAAATTATACGTAGTACAATTAACTTTTTAATTAAAATTATTTATCTGAAATTATTACAAGGTTTACTGCTCCAAAAATAAATATATCACAGGTCATTTTTTAAATGTTTGCGATCCAAATAAAATTCCAGAACTTTTGGATTTCTTTATTCTGAGGAAAATTTCACCAAACTATACACAAATAGAATAAAATTTTGATATGGATTCAGACCATTCTGCAGTAATCCTTACTCTAATTAAACGAAGAACTTGAACTTAAATTCAAAAAAATGTATTGGCTCCTAAAAAGAAAATCCAAATTGTCAGTGCACAACAAACTGCTGATTTATAAACAAATCCTAAAACCAATCAATTTATGGCATACAGCTATGGGAATGTGCCAGCAAGAGTAATATCAACATGATACAAGTTTTCCAAAATAAAGTCCTAAGATGCATTGTTGATGCACCTTGGTTCTACCGAAACGATTATCTTCATAGAGACCTGAAGATGCCAACAATCGAAGAAGAAATAAAGAGGTTTGCTGCGAAACATGAGGATCGACTCCACTCCCACATCAACGAAGAAGCGCTGCAATTACTGGACAACTCTACACTCAACAGAAGGCTCAAAAGGAAGAAGCCATTTGAGCTAGTGCAATGAACGTTAATGTTAGTGCTAGTGTAAAACAGTGTAATAAATCGTCACGCCAACTTGTGATGCTTTCCTATAGAAACAATTAAGACAGCCCAATGGGGACTTCTTAGATAAGTAATTAGTTTATAAGATGTTTAGATTAAAATTGTAGGTTAGTCAGTAATGACTAGTAACAATACTCTAACAAAAAAAATGTTTCAGATATATATACGCACTACCACAAGTCGTTGAAAAATAAATTAATATTATTTGCTAGTTGTCAATGAAATGAATGAAGTTATGCATATGCAACTAACAAATCAAAAAAGTAATATTGGTTGCATAGATGTTAGTAATGTTTTACCAAAACACAATTTTATAAATACTCAAGTCAAAATTACAAAAAAAATATAGTATGTAATGCCGTTTTAAGTAACTCGTTCTTTTTGCGGGATGTCGCTCTGCTCGTCCCGCAAAGATTCACTCGTTATATAAAATAAGGCACTTCGTAACTGGTGTCATAAATAGATATTAAAGATCATTCAAATAAAATAAGTATTTTAAAAGTAATTAAAATAAAGATATAAATTTATGACGTACTTTGAGTATCATTCGATGTTTATTTTCAAGATTCCCCTAACTAGTTGCAATCGTAATATCCATTACCCACAAACGTTCGATGTTCGATTTTCTCTTACAACCGCTTGCCCTCTGTCAAAAAGTGGAATAGGGGTGCGAAACGCTTAGCAAAGCCATAGATAGGCAAGGAGGGATAAACGAAAAATATAAGATCAAGTAATTGTCGGTGAGCTTATCCGTGCTTCCAATACTAATGATTTCAAAATAACCAAAGCAAAAAGTTCTCATCGCAGAGTTTACTATTTTCAGAACTGATACGAAATTGAACGAAAATCGATTTGTGTGTTGATTTGATGTAAAATGCGAGCGAAAATATAATAAAAGTTAATGTCGTTTGTAAATACCCACCTATGGTTGAGTTCGGAATTAATATCCGAGTAACACACAAAGTTATAAAAAAGTTGGTGTAATTAATTAAAACGTTGAAAAATACTTGTACGCGACACGTTAAATAACTTTTCGGTTAAAATGAATCAAAACGTTTCAGAATAAACCTCTATTCCACAAACGTCGTTTGAACCTAGATATTTTTAATCGTCATACCAAGGGGCATTCCATGCCAAATTGGACACCAATTAGCTTTTGCATCTTGATTTTTTTTTAAACTTTTCTGTTTGTATATAGGTTGAAAGGAATCTCCATGATTTTTTTCAATTTTTTTTCTCCAACCGCTTTCGGGATCTCGATTTTTGACAAATTCAGAGATTTTTTTTCAAATGCCCATAACTTCGTGAAAAATGAGCTGAATAAAATTTTCATAAGTTCAAAAAATCTTTGTTTTCAAACATACACTTTTCGTAAAAAATATCAAAAAAATATTTTGAAGCAAGCTTCTATTAGAATTTTAACTTTTAAGCATAAATTATCGATTTACAAAATTTTTACTAAAAATTTCATATTGATATCGCTTTTCATTTTTGATTTTTTTTTAATTTCAACCACTCCTTAAATTCCCCATATTTAATCAGATATTTAAGGGCTTCTTCTCCTTTTAGAGACTGATGTTTGTTAAAAATTTCAAGTTTATATCATTTTTCGTTTCTCAGTTAGGATTTTTTTTTATATTTTAACCCTCCTTAACTCCCCAAAATATATTCATATTTTTCTTCAGTATCAATAGGCTTTATCTTCTTATAAAGCTTCATTTTTACTAAAAATTTCATATTGATATCGCTTTTCGTTTTTAATTTAGGATTTTTTTTTATTTCAACCCATCTTATTAACCCCCTATTTTTAATCAGATTTGTTAAAAATCAATAGGCTTTGTCGCCTTATAGAGCTTGATTTTTGCTTAAAATTTTCAAGTTGATATCATTTCTCGTTTTTGACTTATCGTGCAGACAAAAAACGTGACATCGGACAGACAGACAAAGTAAACCTATAATACTCTTCACAGAATATTGTATGAAGAGTAGAAAAACAAAATGTATTAGGTAAAATAAACTATTCAAAAGGTCAAGAATAATATTCAACTTCTTTTATTAAAGGATACTAAAAGTTTGAAATAACAGCACATAATTGAACACAGAACACAGAAATCTGTGAACTAAACTAGTGAGATGCATATCGTTAAATGTTATCACACTTAATTCTCCATATGACCCTTTCTAAGTATATTTCACAGCACATTCCAAAGTATTCTTGCTCTCGCTCTGTCCTACCCTTAACTGTAAATTAATTTACCAATAGCCTTATTTTTATTTAATACCTGTATTGATTCAAATTATCATAACATCTAATATTTTTTTTAATACTAAATTATACAAACAAGGCAATAAAAAATGTCATGAAAATAAAAGATTTCTGGTTTGTATGCAACAAACAATCTTGGTTAAAGGGTAACACAATTGATAATTACAGGCAAATATAACTTTATATAGGTAAACTATTTAAATGTAAAATTCCTCATCGAGTATATTAAATTAACTGGTTGATCCATTTTTCCGATTCAGACTTTTAAAGTGAAAAACCAATTGTCTCTTTATCTTCATCAAATTTTTATTCTACATTTCCATTTCCATAATAATGTCAAGTAGTTACCTCATCAGAATAATAAAATTTTTCCTTTCAGCGGGTTTTGTGGGAAAAAAAATTTACAAATTTTTTGCTTACTTCTTACTTCATAGTATTTACAATTGGGTACAAAATAGACCATTTTGAATCAGTCTTTGGATGGTCTTAGACACTGAAACAAAATATAAAACAAATTACAGTCGTAAAACTTATTATAGGTAAACAATATAACCTTAAAAAGTTTTTATTGCCTTAAAGAAGTTTTTCGGGAACAATCGTTAAATTGACATATATCCTTCCAATTTATTAAAGTTGCAGTTCCCAATTAAACACATTTTTTTTAAATGATCACAATTAATAAAATAATCTAAATTTTATTAAAACCGTTTCATAAATAACAGTTTGTTTTATTTGGTACAGTGTTGCCAAAATATGTTTTTGTTATGTACCAGATTTGTCTAAAAAATGTACCAGATTCCTTAAATGTATTAGATTTTTCGAATTCTATTTGCAATGATATCTAATTCATTGAAGGAGAAAAAAGGGGGTCTTTATTGATAGCGAACCCAAACAAGGAACACAATATATATATTTTACACGTGAACACTGATGCACGCAGAATGTACTACATCTAGTACAAAAAGTTTCCAAAAAATCCAAGATGCAAAAACTAAATGGTGTCCGATTTGGCATGAAATGCCCTCAATATATATCTTTGTGGATATCCTATATACCTACTAAAACAAACAAATGTGTTGGGTATAGAATAAATACGATGCTGCTATTTAATTTAAATAACAAAACATAAATTATGTAATGGATACTAAATATATTAAATAATCATTAAACCACCGTGTTAAATGTCGCGTTGATGTTCCGAGGCTTTTTGAAATTTTCACTTTAAATCACCGGATAAATAGTGGAGATTATTACTATACGAGATACTGACACGACTTCATCAATATTCCCAGATAATATAGTGTTAAAGCTATGTTCAGTTTGATTATGTAGCCACCAACATAAATTATCTTCATTAATTATATACGCATATTGCATGTACATACCTATATCCAGCTAATCCGCCGAAATATCCGTTTGTCTAAGCCTGATGCTGAAGTCATGCCGTTGACATACGTTAAGAGATTTGGAACAGAGCCGAAATCTCGATTTTCTATTGATATACTTTAATTAGACAAAACATGCACATTTATTCTACCGAGTGGACTAGATTTTTTGAAAATTTAGAACTAATTATAAAAAATTAGATTCGTATATTTATATATCACAATGAATAATATTTTTACGTCTGTATCCATTTTTTTAACAATTATGTCGAAAAAAGTGAAAATAAACGAAAAGTGGAAATAAAAATTTGTTTTTTCCTAATATATGTATATCCTAGATCAGCGTTTCTCAAACTTTTTTGGTGACGGAACCCTTTTGAGAAGCGAAATAATTGACGGAGCCATAAAATAAATTTTACTTTGCAACCCCGGGGCATTTCTAAAAAAAAAGTTCCTCCAACCAGGTCCTACCTTTTGTAGCGAACTTCCTCATAGTACTCCTTTACTTTTTTAAGGCTATTATTTTCGCGGAGCCCCCACAAAGCTTTTGCGGAGCCCCAGAGCTCGGCGGAGCACACTTTGAGAACCACTCTCCTAGATGATTCTTATTAATATTAGTAACCAACTTTTACTGCTTTAATAATGTACAAAATATGTTTTAATTAAACGAATTAAACCCATAACAATATAACAATGAGTGGCGTTTGGCGTTTGGCGTTTTTGTGCAACATTTGACATATTTAATTGTAATTATGATCAACAATAACTAGACTTGAATTCATGATACTTGACATGACATATGATGTTGATTGAAGATGATAGAAAGCATTACTTACAAACCAATATTGCAAAATTATTAAAAAGGTTTTTTTATAGGCACCATTGCCCGTACAGCTCCTGTCCAATTTACTATCGATTTAAGTAAACAATTTGACCATTAATCGTAAATTAAAAAAATTTAAAAAATAAAAATAATTAAAAAAAAATTAAAATTAAAAAAATAAGATTAAAAAAAATGTTCTTCAATTTTTTTATAGGCGCTATTGTTCGCACAGCTGTTTTCAAGCATATTAAGCATAAACATACTATCGATTATAGTAAATAATTTGAGCAGTTTCTTAATCATAATTGAGAAAAAATTTAAATTAAAAAATTTTAAAAATTTAAATTTTTCAAATAAATTATTTTTTATTATTATTTAGTTCGTTCAACTACTGTCAAATTTTCAAGCAGATTAGGCATATTCATATCGAACAAACATTTCATACATTTCCTTAATCATAATTTACAAAAGAATAAAAATAAATAAAAAAATTAAAATAAAAAAAAATATTCCAAGAATTTTTTTTATGAAAATAGTTTACCCTAATATTTTTTAGATCCTAATATTTTTAATTAGTTAGAATCCTGCAATTGAGTAATTACTTTTACAGTTATAATTTTTCTGCGCTTCCTCTTTTTCTATTTAACATTCAAAAATTGGTAAATACTATAATCTTATAATTTGTTGAGTTACAATTATATTAGTTAAAACCTATTATGTACTCAGCTTTGGAAACACTTCTCTGGGTCGTCTAAAAACTGCTTAAAAATAACAAATATTTTAAACAGCTTTTGTCTATTATGTTATATTTCTAGAATCAGTGCAATAGCCTTTTTAATAAAATAAATATTTCGTAGAATTGTCTTAGCAACATTATTAGATAAAAATAATTTGTTGCAGACTTGGCTGGTAGTCCTGTCAAATTTGACACTAGCGGAGACGGATTAGCAAGATATGATATTCTTAACTACCAAAGACTGCTCAACTCATCTGGCTCTGGATACCATTACAAAGTAAGTAACTGATTGTAACTTTTATATTAAAATAAGTAAAGTTTTTTTTTTATTTCGTATTGATTTTACCTGTAAGCATTTAGGACGTTCTCAGAATATGAGATACCTGCTGGGTATATGACTTTTATTAGCTTCTAAGAATGTCCTGTTATAGCACGTGCTCAGTATATACTTTTTAGAATATACTTTTAAAACACATATTCAGTATATTATACTTTCTAGAATATACTTTGAATATTCTAAAAAGGATATTTCAAAAAGAATATAAATAGAACGTTCTTAGTATATTCATAGAACATTGATCTTATGTAGGATATTTTACAGTCAATAAATTAGACGATTATTTCCATACAAGTTATTTTAAAAAACCGACTCAGATTTTGACCAAAAATATATGATACCACCCCTGAGGTAGAAAAAAGAATTCGACGATTTGAGAACCTCCTCATTTTTTGAAGTCGGTTAAAAAATAAATCGATTTCGTGATGTTACAGTGAAATTAAAGAAAATATATATAATAGAATACCAAGAGCACAAGAAATAACAAAACAAGTATATGGAGGCAGTTTATGTCATTTTGTATGAATACGTTGAAAGAGACTGCAATATCTGAAATTTCCAACATTCTGCGAGATTATAATTAGATTGTATTATATTTACCTACTTGCATTTATTATTTTGTTCATACAACAAATATTTTATAGTATGAAAATTATCTTACAATAAGGTACCTTTACAATACGGTATATTATTTACAATAAGGTTTAATATTTAAAATAAACAATTTTAAATTTGAAGTTTAAGGATTGTAGTTGACCCAGATAACAATTTAAGGTTTCCATATTTCATGTTAACTTCCCCAAAACTACATAACAGAAAATATATAACTTTTCCACAATGCTTGGTTTTATATGTACATTTATCTTCCAACAATTTTAGGTACATAATAAATATGATTTATTTTATGTTATTTTACATTCTCTACATGCAAATTTAAAAATACGCATATTGAAGCAATGGTGATGTTCCCTTATGCTTTGTAGTAAATACACAGTGTGTGCGGTATTCCGGCGCCAATTGTCGCTTCAATTCAAAGAGGCTAACCAGTGAAGAAAGTGTTGAGATGTTGGGCAGCTTAGAGAATTGAACCGAGACTATAATGTTTGCCCTATTAACAGACCTACTAGTTCGGTATTTCCCTCATCTCGTTGAATTTGGATGGATGGTCTCTAAATTTTCTTTCTTATACCCTTGATAAGATTTATCTATGCATATGTTCTGATGACTTTTTTCTGTCTAGAAAATTATCCTCTTCAATAAAAAAAAATTCCTTTGCGTGCCACTTTTTGCAATCAACTAAGAGACTAATATTGGTCAAATGCCATCATTTGAATTTAATAGAACGATAAATCAGAAATCATACAACGTATATAAGGCTAAACTAGGAGTAACGTGTTGGATAGGCGTGATCTAATTTGTTAGCAATCCCAAGGGGATTTTGACAAATTCAGATTAAATCTTCTAATTGACAAAATACCTTTAGGTGAATGTATTCCTAAAATTAGTTAATCCTTGTATAATCCAAAAGTAACAATGTTGGCCTTACTTTATAACTTCATCTAATATTTATAAATGAGGTTATATTAGACGAGACATTTATTTTCAATTGTACTTAAGTTAATAAAATTTGATTTTAAAAATATTAGATATGAGTACAAGTCTAGTAGTAACATTAAAATATAAAGAACACGTGGTAAAAGCATTATTCAGAAATTTGGGATTTATCATTAGACATGCAGTTGACCTCAATTCTATCGAAACCATGAATATGTTGTACAATGCGATCGTCAAATCAAAATTAGAATATGCTTCATTAATATGGAAACCATTTTATGATATTCACATAAGCGCTCTTGAAAACGTTCAAAGACGATATCTAAAATTCTTGGCATTTAAGATAGACGGAACATATCCACTAATTGGGATAAATCACACGTTGCTTTTAAATAGATTTTAAATGCAAAGCTTAGAATGTAGACGAAAAAATCAGTCGTTAATATTCCTTTATAAACTTATTAACTACCAAATTGATTGTTCCGAGTTATTAGAACAACTTGTATTTAAAGTGCCAAGAATTGAATCTCGAAACAACTTCATGTTTTATCTCCCGCTATCTCGGACAACTTTATTAAAAAAACTCGCCGTTGTATTTTACGTATGAAAATTGCAACAACTTGCAAGGTAGAATTGATTTCTTTTCTTGTAAGCTTTCGCAGCTCAAAAAATTGTAAGGCTGTTTTGGTACTATTTGCCTCTGTATAGTCATTAATTTATTTAATTTTTGTCATATTATGTAATTTTTGTCATATTATGTAATTTTTGTTATATTGTGTAATTTTTGTTATGTTGCACAATTTATGTTACATCCAAATTATGTCTTATTGTGCAATATGTTATATTTATATTTACTTTTGTAATTACAATTTTTTTCCTGCTCTATAACTAGGCATTTAGCATGAAGCGCAGTGTATGTAATAAATAAATAAATCAGTAGGTATCTTCATTTGATACAATCTTTGTTAAAGGTTTTCCAGGCTAGAAATTGGAGTGATTTATAAAAAATCTAGTATTCTTTAGAAATTGGATTTTTTCTGCAAAAATATTTCAGTTCCCGCAGATTCTGTCTAGTATTTGTTTGCTGTAGTATTGTCAGGATAACTTAAAAGCTCCCTGGCATCACTGCAAGTTCTTGTTTCATCCCAACTTTCATTGAATTTCACAAGGGAAGATTAGATTAGATTATATTTAATTAGGACTGTGGACCATGTGGTCTCCCCCACCTCGACCTTTTCAGATCTATTGTAGATATCCTTGAATCATTGTTTAGAGTGCCTTGTCTAATTCGGTCTTTTTTAGTAGACTCCATAGACTGTGAAGTAGTTCTCTGGTATAGCTAGTTACCCTTGGTTTTTTTTTTTTCTCCAAGTGAAAGGAATCTCAGTCTTGCTAGACCTTCGCAGTAGCACAATACGTGTTCTGCCGTTCCGTGCTCTTCCTGACAGAATCGGAACAAGGTCTGTTCTGTCAGATCGATATTAAACATATGTTTGTTAAGCCTGCAATGCCCTGTTAATAGACCTACTAGTACTTTTTTTTTAAATGAGTAAAACCAAATTTGGTAGATTTTCACAAAACTTTTATTTAAAAAAAAAATTAGTAGATGCACGGTGAGTTTAGGCGATGATTCTTTTAAGAACTCTTTGGCCTCTCTCTATCCTGGAGAGTTTTTCCACCACTCCTGAGATTTTTTAAACATCCACTGCTTTGTGCATGTTCTGATAGTTATTTTGGTTACACCACAGAAGGGTTCTGGGCCAATTAGAGCATTTGAGGCTCCTTTTCGGGCTAGTAAAACAGCCTCTTCATTGCTATTATGTCCTCTGTGGCCTGGTACCCAGGCTAAGGTTAGTCTGTTTTGACTACCCAGCTCTGTTAGGGCTTCCAAACAGTCCCACACAAGCTTTGAGTATACCTGCATGGAACTGAGTGCTTTTAACGTCGCTTGACTGTCTAAGTATATAACAATGGTTTTTCCATTTAACTTCTGGCTTAATACTTGTTTTGCGCAATGATATATTGCTGCTATTTTTGCCTGGAATACTGTCGCATGTTTACCTAAGCTCAGTGAGATTATTGTCTTTGGCTTGGTTCTATATATACCTACTCCTGAACCTTCATGGGTTTTGGAGTCGTCTGTATACCAGATGAATTCTGTATAAATAGGAGGTTCTTTCGTCCACGCTTCCTTGTCTGGTGTACTTACTTTATATACTTTGGGAGCATTTCATCTGAAGGCATTCCCATTATTTGGTCGTTCTCCAACTCTTTATATAGCTCGCTATAGTCGCGTCCATGCAAACTGCTTATGGGTGATGAACCTTTCTACAGTCTGTGTGTGACAGACCTGGCTTCGCCTTGAATGTTCTTTACTTAGGTTTGCCACTATCGATGCTGTCAGTCCAATGGATGGGTCAGGTCCAAAAAGTATTTGTTTGGCTGCCTTCTTGATAAGTGAATCAGCAACACAGTTACCTTTCGATGTGGCGTGACCTAAGATAAAGTGATATATATTAGTGTTTGACTGCGAGAGTTTAAAAATGTTCCTCTCTTGATGGCTTATTCCATCCTAATCGCAGTTAAATCGGAAATGGAAAGGTGTACCATTGTTGGAATTATTTCTTGTATATTGAATCAAAAATGTAGATCATTTTTCGGCAGTAATAGCTATCAACTACATTAAATAAATTACTCAACATTATATGTATATTCATAAATTTATAAAACGTGAAAATTTGAGTTAGGTAAGTTCGATATTAGAAGAACGATATTAATAGGTAGGTTGGGTTAAATCAACTAACTATGCAGAATTTTTCTCCGTGTGTAGTTATGAGTATAAAAATGCAATAGAAACGAATAAGCGTAGTATTGGAAGCCAGGAATTTCCGCAATCGCACACGCATATTCGAAACTCATTCTCGAATGCAAAAGAGGCATTTCCCATTTTGCGATCCGGAATGAAAAATAACCGTCTACGTCGCGTCGGCCTGCATCCGCCACGCCGTAATGTTACGCTGTTGCGCTAACCCCTAAATCAACGGTGATCAAAACAAAAAAAAAGGAGAATTTTGAACTTAAATGTTGTATGATTGTATGTCAATTCTTATCCGGGATTCTCTAAGTAAATCGATTTAGCTGAATTCCGGAAATTGGGTCATTCCACAAACTTTTTAATGTACGTACCAAAAGTTTTCAAATTTATTTGTTTACCTTAATTTGAAAATGTGTATTCCAACTTGCTATTTAACGCTGATCCAGGCATTGTGAATGAAATACGAAACAGCCATGCTATAAAATAGTAAACCTAGTTGCGCGATTTAGTATATACTTTAAAATTTAGGTCCTCCATTACTGAAAATCTTTATTGAGGGCAATAACAAAGGGCTATCGCCCGTATTAACAGTGATACCTAATTATATAATTATTTGATGTTTAAATAACCTAATTTAAAATTTTATAATTTGATTTTAATTTAATAATTTAATTTAAATTTGTACCTGTATGTATATGTATATTAATTATAAATACAGTTATTTAGTTATAAACAATTACCACATTGACATGTCTAAATCAAAATTATTTCCAAGAAGCTTTTTATATTCTCCAGCAAAGTGTTTGTTTTGATAGTTCTGATTGCAAGAGAATTGTATATTTTTGGTGCCACAGTTGTTACAAATTTTTGGCTAGCATCACTGTAAACAAATAAAGTTTTACAGTAATTTCTTTGGTGTGTTTTTTGTTCATGTGATGACGCATATATCGCGTGAAGATAATATAATAATCTAGCTTTTAACATGTCACTGTTACACAGAAATTACTTATATTTTTGTATACAGGGTGTCCCAAATAACAGTGATCGATTTTAAATGTAAATGCACAGCTTATTAATTGCTCTAAAGAGATGGGGTTTTCACTATTTGCTTTCGTTTATCCAAAAGTTTTTTTCAAGTTTGTTCACATTTTATCAGATCAATATACACGGTGATCCACTAATGTTGGTCAACTTGAATGGAAAAAATATGTATTATTTTTCCATTCAAGTTGACCAACATTAATGGATCACCCTGTATTGATGTGATAAAATGTGAACAAACTTGAAAAAAAACTTTTGGATAAACGAAATCAATTAGTGAAAACCCCATCTCTTTAGAGCAATTAATAAGCTGTGCATTTACATTTAAAATCGATAACTTTTATTTGGGACACCCTGTATTATCCTTAATATGTAATTTTAAATTATATTTAATAGCTGAAGAGCATTATTATATAAACCTCCCCAAACCAGAGCAGCGTACCTAAAGATTGACCAATGATCGGAAAATCATCTATTTCCTATGTATATAGAACTTTCCTATACATTTTCGTAATCTATTTTTTAATCTTGTTACATGATCCTTCCATTTAAGATTTTTATCAGATTCAAAGATAATTTATTACAGTCTAACCACGATTTATGTATATACCAAGTTCAGCCTTTTCCTTAACTAAATTTCAAGAGTAACCTTCTATTTTGGCTTTTAAGAGAGTTTAATGATAAATAATAGTGGTCCCAAAACCGCGCCTTGTGGTATCCCTATTTCTCTAATTTTGTGGATTTGTTTTCTGTTAGTTATTCACTGAAATTTATTAACTAGATCAAGTATTTTTCAATTTAGACTGTATATACCACTTGAATACGTAGCGTTGATATATTCTAAATAAATGAAATGCCGGTGTATTGAAATCTACATTTCTAAATTCACAGAAAGCAGAATTTGCATTCTGATGCAGACTTTGACATAATCTAATTCTGATACTGTGGGTAGCCATGTGTGAGGTTTTCCACTAGGTGTGCCAGAATATGAAATAATTTTGACTTGGAAACCGATCGCAATTGTAAAATACATATCATTATGAGTTTTAGAGGAATTTTTGTTTAGTTTCAGTTAACATGTCTTTCTTTTACATTATGTAAAAATAGAGCATAAAAATTGTTTACAATATAAAAATGGTCTATTCATGAATCGGTGACAAGTAAATTATAAATTTTTAAAAATGATTTAGGATGGTACGATGATAACACTATTTATTACTTTTTTACTTTTAATATATAATTTTTTTACATATCTTATGTAATTTATTTTTTTATATTATTAAATTTTCCTTGTTATTGGAAAACTGATGACCAATAATTCTTTCATTACTTTTTTTTAAGCATTATTATTAATATCATAACTAATTAAGGCTATTTGTTTCAGAAAGTGGGAAAATGGTTTAACTATCTTCAGCTAGACCCAAATTATCTTGTATTTGAAAATAATGCAACTTTTGTGCCAACATCAGCTTGCTCTCTACCCTGTGAACCAGGAATGATCAAGAAACAACAAGTAAGTTAAAAAGTCATGTAATATAAATGTATTGTACTCATTTTTTCTCTATATTCTAATTCTATTAGTGCAGCAAAAATGTGTACAGTAAATTTAACCCAGATCAGAAATAAACCAACTTGCTAACGTGTTGTAGAAGTTTTAAAAGTGATTTTTTCTTCTTACTCTATAACGGCTTAACATATTTTTATGAAAATGTACATATCTTATACAGTAACCAATAAAGTGGAGTCAATGGTGTTCAAAATAAATGAAAAATAAATTAAACATAAATTAAAAATATATCAAAAACAAATTAAAAATAAATTAAAAATTTATTAAAAATAAAAGAAAAATTACCCAAATTCTTACCCCATTAAAATTACCCCAAAAAGGTCTCCACCAGCAAGTGGATTTTGTGGAATTTGTATCTAAATAATGCTAGAAAACAAATAAATGATATTTTTATGTCTAGAAACTGAGATATTTGATTCCGACTAAATAATCTTAAAATGTCCATTGGAGTTGATTGACGTTCTATTTGAGCCTGCAAGTGGTTCTCTTTCAAATATATTTAAGTAGTATTTGTACTTAAATTACTTAGAAAATAAATATATTTTTATGGTATATCGAAACATATCGACAAACTTTAAAGAGGATATGAAATAAACTTTTTTATTCGAAGGTATCATAAAACTTCGTTTTTCGTATAGAAAACATAATCGGAAAGGGTAAATTTTACAAATGAACTGCTAAAAAGTATTTTTTGGTCAGGCTGCATAGGTAAAACGGCTATGCTATCTAAACATTCTCGTCTATGGAAATGCTTTCGTACTTGACAATGACCAGTCAGAATGCCTGGGGCTAGGCGTAGATTCTGTCTAATCATAGTCAAGTATTTATTATAGAATAACTTAAGAGCTCCCTCTGGCTACTTTAACACCATACATGAGCCTCCAAGTCGACGGTCCAGCGTTTCCTTCATGAACAAATCCTCCATCCCTACCATTTATATGCATATAAGCTTGAAATCCTGAAGATTACCCACATCGATTAGCTTTTTGCCAATGGTTTTTGGATCATAACTTAATAGACCCTTACGTCGGAAGAAAAGTATTATTTACTGATGAGGTATGTCTCACAGGTGATGCTTATTTTAATAATTGAAACACCCACATTTGGCACGATGAAAATTTTCATGGTGTGGTCTTTAGAACACACCAGCAATAATTTTCTGTAAACATATGGGCTGTTGGAGAGAATTTAATAGTTCATTGCTGCCTGCTCATTTAAACGCAGACATTTGTCTCTATATTCTGCAAAATATTTTGCCTCTATTATTAGAAAATGTCCCTTTAAGGATTAGGAATAATATGGCGTTTCAACATTTAGACCAGCGATTTCTTTGCTGATGAATTGGAAGAGCAGGTCCCGTGGCATGATCCGCGTGTTCTTCAGATCTCATCTCTCTAGATTTTTGTGGTTATTTGAAATCTTTACGAAATGCTTATTTGTAATGAATAAGATCTCTTAGCAAAAATAATGGCTAGTTTTTACACATGTAGAATATTCCATAGGGGCCGCGAACCGACGGGTGCAATTTTTGCATTGAAACAAACATTTTGAAAAATTGTAATATTATTTCATTTAGTCCTTCTGAACATTTTGGAAATTATTATCAATTATTTATCACTGAAATTAACCAAACTGACAATTTTTTCTTTTTTCTGTCCAAACGATTAATTCGTGGACTTTGATATCCCGTACCACCCCATAAAGTTTGTCGATTTGTTTTATGAGACACCCTGTTACATATCCTGATAGATCAGTTTCGAAAATCGATATATGACTTTTCAAACTTCTAGAGAGAAAAAGGTCTCCTTCCTCACCAAATACGTATACGAATGAATTGTTCACAAAGGCAGATAATAGGATATTAGATCGAATTTAGGGGAAATTTTAACAGAAAAAACAGGATTTTGTTAAATATCTCGGCAAATGCTTGAAGGAAGATGCCGTTTGCTGCGTTTTATCTCTCTTTAAGAGCTCTAAAAAATAATATATATCATCGTTGGTTTGGGAACATCTCCTATGTGTAAAATCACTTAATTTTCAGTAGACACAAAAACTTCCTAGACATTCTTATAAAATTATACACATACAAGGTATTAGGTATATGATGACAATGTATTTTAATTCGATTAGCAGAAGCATTTGTTTTTTCAATGTGCGATGTAAACGTTAATTTTGGATCAAAGAAAACTCCAAGATCTTTAATCAATTCTGGTCGATTTAATGTATGATTTTGTAGGTTATAATTATATAGTATTGATGCTTCCTTTCTAGTAAATGTCATTACATTACATTTTTTAACATTTAACGGTAACTTATTTCTTTTGCACCATTCGTTTAAGTGGTTAAGATTCTCTTGAAGCAATCGACAATCATTATAACTAGAGATTTCATAAAAAAATTTAGGTCATCGGCAAACAATAGATTTGTGACGCTCAAATTACAAACAATATCATTAATAAAAAGCAGAAATAATAAAGGCCCTAAAATCGAGCCTTGTGGGACGCCAGATGTTTGTTTAAAATTTATTGATTTATGCCCTAAGCACTGAACATAAAGGTAACGATCTGATAGATATGACTGTATAACATTTAATAAGGAGCCATGAAATCCAAGCGCTGAAAGTTTACTTATTAGAAGTTTGTGATCAATTCTATCGAATGCTTTAGAGAAGTCAGTGTAAATAACATCAACCTGACTTCTTCTATCCAAAACTTCAAAAATACAATGAGTTATACAGATTAGATTAGTTACAGTAGAGCGACCAGCAATAAAACCATGTTGGGTTGGACTAATGATTTGGCTAAACTGAAATGGAAGGAAAGTATGTACAAGTATTTCAAAAACTTTAGAGAAATTGTTCAGAATTGTGACAGGGCCATAGTTACTGCCATTTTTAAAGATTGGACTAACTCTAGATAACTTCCACATCTCAGTAAATTGTTGAGTTTTAAAAATAAGGTTGAAAATAATAGTAAGAGGTTTGCAAAATACCTGTGCACAGTCTCTCACCAAAAAAGCCGGAACATTATCCGATCCACTTGTTGGCTTGGGTTTCAATTTTTTTAGAGCAGTTAATACTTCAGATTCCATTACTTGGATAATGTTAACTATATTGATATAATTTTGGTATTCCAAAGAATCTTTAACAGTATTATCAATTGGTGTATAATTTCCTGAAAAAAATATTGCAAACGAATCCAATATATCTTTAGGTTGATTTAAACGCTTGTTTTCGAAGTTCATAGTGTTGGGTATCTTTGACAGATGCTAAGGTTTCTACCTCGTCCACTTCTACTTTTGATATCTAAATTAAAATTTGACATCAGTACATCCAGGTACATCATTCATATCTAAGATCAATAATAACTAGACCTCAACAAAAATGAAAGAAGCATTACTTTAAACTAACTTTAATAAATAATATTGCAAAATTATTAGAGTTATAAATGAAATACAATTATATTTGTTCGTAAATATAATATATATCATGCTCCGTGAATATTAGTATAATAACCTGTCAAATGATTGACCTATCATCTGATTGCCAGATCTTGAAGTTGAATACATGTTGATGTTAAAATATACTTCATCTAGCTCTTATGATGGTCAAACGGGTACCTCACCTTCTAACGACCTCTGGTGAATTATTTGGAACACGTTGTATATGATGCCATATCGTCTTTTGTTTTGATATGGGATTTTAGTGCCTTATCGTCTTTTGTTTTTATATGGGATTTTAGGGAAGTTGAAACACCTGTAATTATTGTCTTTCATCGTGGTTCGTCTTGAGATTATAAAAAGAATGAACTTTGTCTATGACGTCACACACTCCGTGTGCGTTCTGTCCACATACTTTGATTTTCTTTACTATACGATGCAAGAGAGAGGTCCGACACGCCCAACGTAGGGCGCGGCCATTTTGATTCCTATGCCACAGTTTATAGCTAAAGAATCAGATCGCTCACTCTGCGTCGGCACTTTTGATCTCAGTGTTCCAGTTTATACACTGCGCAACTCGGATAATACAATATATGACAACCGCCTATAATACAACAGCAGTCTTCTGCGTATCCTGAATTTGTATCCCTGGAGTGGATGTTATTTTGGAATTTTCAACTGGTCCGAGTGAGCTAACTGATTCTTTAGCAATAAACTGTGACTCCAAAAATAATATTCACTGACAGCAGCAAGCAAAATATCAGGTGCGTTTTAATAATCCGCTTCTGCTTCCGGAATTGTCGGTTTAGCCGTTTTAACCTGTCAGATTAAAACAAGAAAACCGACAATTCCGAAGCAGAAGCGGATGATTAAAACGCACCTATTAAAAATTTTGCGCCAAGATGTAGGAAACACGTAATAAGGGTTCAAAATGGCGGAGTTTTCTATCTCCTTTTAAAAGGCACTCAGAAAGCTGCGCAGTGCGACCATTCTCCGTATAGTTAAAGAAAATCAAAGTATGTGGTTCTGTCCGATTCGTCAAGTTCCAAGCCGAACTTGTTCATATTGAAAACGCTCACGTCATTCATAAAGTTTAATACTTTTAAACGGGGCCATCGATCGAGTGACTCAGATTAGTTTTTTGAGTATTTCAGTCGCATATTGGCAGTTGATGTTGTGCATAACTGCATGGAGGGCCAGTCTACATAAGTTGAATGTTTTATTAACTTTTTTTATAATAATAAATACAAATATCGGTTACAAATCGTCCTAGGCAAATAAGATTTAGCAATCTGTTAATGAAACTTTTTTTTACGTACTCGCTCGATGACAAAATTCAAATCAAAAAATTTGACAGGCCTCTTCCCGATTTAGAAATCACAAAAACGCACCTCTAGTTCGTCAAGCTTCAACAGCCGTTCAACAATGTTTAATCAGAATATGCATTTAAAAAATAACTAATTTTTTTTGTTTTGCTTGTGTTTTATTTAGGAGCGATCAAAATTTAGGCGTGACATACAAAAATGATTTGCCTCCGGCGGGGCACTTGCATAATTATGATACTCTGACCTGTTTGTTGAACTTTGTGGAAATAAAATGGATGATTTTTATATAACTTTATTTTTTAATAACTATCAGACTGACTGACAATCGTTTACTACGATAAAATAACTGAATCTACAACATTGGTAAAAGTACTAAATCAAACACTAAATCTTAATATGAATACTTATTATCTACACTGTTACCACTGTGTTTTAAGACACGAGCCGCTACTGGAAATAATAAATGTGTTCAGCTTTATATAATTTTCACCCTCAATCGATTTATAAGTTATCCATTAGAGGCATTCAACAATCTGACTGAAAATTATCATTTGTTCCAGGGAGACACATGCTGCTGGATATGTGATAAATGCGAGGACTATGAGTTTGTATACGATGAGTTTACATGTAGAGATTGCGGACCGGGATACTGGCCTTACGAAGACAAATTATCTTGCTACGCACTGGAATTGCAGTATATGCGTTGGAACACTCCCTATGCTTTCGTGCCCGCAGCATTTTCATGTCTGGGAATTCTAGTTACTTTCGCCGTTATTATCCTGTTTGTCAAGCATAATGATACTCCATTAGTCCGTGCATCTGGCAGGGAGTTGAGTTATATGTTGCTCTTTGGGATCCTCCTATGTTATCTGAATACTTTCGCTCTCCTTGCTAAACCAACTACCGAAATTTGCATCACTCAGAGGTTTGGCATCGGCGTTGGATTTTCTATTATATACGGTGCACTGCTTACCAAAACGAATAGAATCTCCCGTATATTCGATTCTGCTTCAAAATCAGCTCAGAGACCGAGCTATATAAGTCCTAAATCTCAAGTTGTCATCACGTGTTCCTTAATTGCTGTTCAAGTTATTTTGACTCTAGTTTGGATGATTGTTGAACCACCAGGCACGAGGTTCCATTACCCTACCAGAAACCAGGTTAGTATTATATGTATATGTTATAATTTTATAATTATTTTAAGTAGATACATTATTAAATGCCTTATTATTTTTATTAGTAAGTACAAGGTGGGGCAGAATAAAGAGCGATTTTGAAAAGCACGGAAATGGTACTGTGTCATTATGAAGTGGTGGGAATGATGTAGTGCTGTCGTGCATATTCCTTGTTACTATTCAGTACATAGATAAAATAATAAGTAATAAACATTTTTTGAAGACGGGACATTATCAATAAGCTGTAGTTTCTGCCATGTTGTCAGCAAACAATGTAGAAACCATTGAAAATTATATACATAGTTGGAGCCAAATATGCGAACTTTTTAATAGAAAATGTACCGAGAAAAATTTCAAGTGGTCACTTACATCCTAAAAAATTAATATCCACCTCACCCAACCTAAACGCTGGCCCGCTTTTATAACCGGGCAGACTGAGCAGATGCTTAGGGGCGCCGGTGGTTGGGGGCGTCCATGCTAGGAAAGAGAAAAAAAATAGGTTTTGACCAGCTGCGATTTCAAACACTAAAATTTAAACCGGTAACTTCAACTTGTTGTTGAGTTATTTTCCCTTGTTGAAAATGTAAAAAATACAATAAAATATACCTTCAGATTAAAACGTTCGATCTATTAGACGAGTCAGGGCGCGCAGCAGTATGAACCGGGCGCACTCACTATCCAGGGCGGTAGACTACAGTAATCAGCTAGTAGCGCGCCCCTCATCATTGCCACACTTACACCGCTACCAGCGCGGCGCCCCCACCCTACTACAGTTGTACAGTCGTCAGTCACAAAGCTTGGAAAACAAAGTTGTGGATCTTTTGAATGATATGAAACTTAATATTGAAAACTGTCGAGGACAAAGTTATAATAATGCCTCGAATATGTCCGGAAAATATGCTGGTCTCCAAACCAGAATTAAGGAAAGGAACCATACTGCAGATTTTGTGCAGTGCACAGCCCACTCTGTAAACTTAGTTGGTTGCTACGCTGCAGAGAAGTCTTTCTTTTCTTCTTCAACTTGCAAGTGGGGTCTTATAAAAAAATGTATAAAGAAAAGTAACGATGGAAAACAAAAAGAAAGAACCGAAAAGCAACGATGGAAAACAAGAGAAAGAAACTGAAAATCACCTTGCCAAAATCACTGAGTCACAGCAGCTAAGGCTCTGTACTTCATAATCGCTGTTTAGACGACAGTATGGGACACTGTATTTTCGTACTCTTTTTTTTTATAGACTTGTTTACTAGGAAAGCAAAACAGGAGATAACACCAAAAACAGTCACATTTTTAACTGCTCAGGAAAAAATACATTTCTCGCACTATGAAAGGATTCAACTTTGACGTCCAATAATCCCTTTAAACTCATTTCTATCGACATCTATTAGCCAGAAAACCTAGACGAAAATGTTCCCAACCTAACCTACTTATTTACTCCCCTCCCCGGTCTGCAGACAGTCAGTATTTACTGGACTCTACTTCTCTCTACATTAAATAGATACATTTAACAAATATTAATAGAATATTTATTTAAATCAATTTATAATTTGTTTACACCAAGTACTAGTTAATTAATTTATACTTAAGCACAGAGCTGGGCAGTACTCGAGTAAATTGTACTTGAGTACTCAAAGTATTCAGTAATTAGTACTCGTAAGTACTATCATCCTGATGGGACTCATACTTTATACTCAAAAATTGTCGAGTACTTTATATTTAGAGTACTCAGTACTTTTTATTCCTATATCTGACGAGTAACGAGTACGAGTATCGACGCGCGCATATATATTATAATGATTCCACCTTGGAATGGTTAAACTATTTCAATGTCCTAGACCTTTTAGGGTTATGGCTCCTTTTGCTTCGCACTAAAATTTCAAAAAAATAACTAAAACTAATACTAATCAATATATGTTGAATTTAAAAAAATCTAAATCTTTTGTTTCGCATCTTCCGTTTTGCTCCCTGTTCTTCTGTTTTCTGCTCTAACTCTTGGCGTTATTTATCTCCTCTTCTCCTGCCTGGTCTCCTCTTGCTGTTTTCCTCTAATTTCTCCTCTTACTCCTCCTTCTGACGAACACTCCTTTCTGCTAAGTTCTCCTTCCTATTCCATTTAACTCTTGATGTTCTTTATCTCCTATTCTCCTGTCTGGTCTCTTTTTGCTGTTTTCCTCTACTTTCTCCTCTTACTCCTCCTTCTGACGAACACTCCTTTCTGCTAAGTTCTCCTTCCTATTCCATTCACACTTATCTTTAATTTAAATAAAACTTTCTTTATCTGCCTTTTTAATTCTTAAACCCCTTTGTCAATATTCCCAAAATATATCTGACAATTCCATTAATCCTACTACCATTGGCGTCACAACCTTAAGGCAATTCCGAATTATTTATCGATTGCAACGATACAGAATGGAAAAGATAACAATATGTCAAATGATGGAATCATGGCAACATGTTTTTAAATATATGACTGTTCTTTTGAGTATTCTCTATCTGTATATCTGTCCCTACCTAATAACCTTTATTAATTTAACATTAAAATGAAAAGTTGGGCGTACACGTTAATGGTAAGTGCTAATTTATGAAAGATAAGTGATACTCTTGTTTTTTGTTGTTACTTACTGACTTATTATTACTAATTATTATAATTCCTTTTTTCTAAACTTCATTCTGAGGTAATTCTATTTCGACTATACGTACAATATGGATTCTTACGCTTTTCAAAATCGCTTATTATCCCGCTCCACCCTGTATTAATAAAACTTTGCACGAGTAGTGATTTGAAATTTTGTCACCCTAAATTGATGAAATCGATCACTGTGCGACGTTATTACATCGGATTTTTAATTCCAACCATTTCATTTTTCTAGGTTATTCTGAAATGTAAAATTCAGGACATGTCGTTTTTATTCAGCCAGCTATACAATATGATTCTGATTACTACTTGCACAGTGTACGCCGTTAAAACCCGCAAAATCCCAGAAAACTTCAATGAATCGAAATTCATCGGCTTCACAATGTACACTACTTGTGTCATTTGGCTGGCTTTCATACCTATTTATTTTGGAACTGGAAACGCATATGAGGTAAGTCTTTTTTTTTAACAGCAAATAAACGGCATTTGATATTAGTTTTTGACCACTGGTATATTGTTTATACGAGGATAGATCGGAAAATACGAGACGGAAAAAATAACGTTTTTAATTTTTCTATATATTTTCCTGAAATCTCTTCAGCTCATGTATATCACATTTTGAGATAATTTCTTTAGCAGTTCTCTTTGCTGATCCTTTGAAATCAGATTTGGTGAACGACGCCCCCAGGTATTTTATTTGGGGAGGTGTTAAAATTTTTTGTATGACATTCTTTACAGCGTATAATGAGAAAAAAAGACATTTATAATAAATTGCTACTAAATCGTTAGCCCCTCTTGAGTGCGTCAATGGATTCGATTCCTCTTTTAGCTAGCGCGTCGGCTTTTACCCTCAGATTTAATTGAATTTCTAACTTATTTACGGTCAAAAAGCATAGCTTTGGACTTTGTAGCGTTAATTATTGTCAAGCAAAATTCGTTAGATATTTCCGAAATAATTTTCGATTCTTTGTGGATTTTTGTGATGGCATCTTTCGATTTAAATACTTTAAAATCGAGGTATAGTTGAGTGTCATCAGCGTAAACATGAGAATTCTTGTATTTCAGGTATTTGAAAAATTGAGAGAGGACCTAAAATAGATCCCTGCTGTATTCCATAAATAGCTACATAATTTAGATATCCTTTTTGATTTTTATTCCAATAGGCCTTTTTTTCTCTACTCATCGCAGGATTATGGTCGGCCGGCAACAATGTATTTCTAGAATCGCCCATAATCCTCCTATGCAGCGGCGTAACAATGATTCGCGATAAAATGCTAATATTGACACGATTTTATTGTCCATTCAAATTAAACTTAAGAGAAAAAAATTGTTAGAAGGACTTTGATATGAAACGTAGCACTTTAAAATTTAAAACCCACAACTAAAAAAATGTATTTGTCTGAATCTTAATCATTCTACTTAAATGTTTGAAGCAATATTGTTACGCCAATACCCATGAACCCGGCTCAGCCAAGTTGATGTTTGAAAATTATAAAAAAAGTTAATTATATACATTTTAAAATAAAGTTGTTTTATATAACCCTGGGTCGTTTCAATATTATATATCTATAAAAAATTAAGAATTTGGATCAAAAAATAACAAACAGTTTCTTTTATATATTTTTTCCATACAATTCTATGGTGCTATCAATTTGTATTTTTTTTATATTGAAACGATTTATAATAATAATTTAGGAATAAATCATTGTTGCTATTGTAATTTTTTGTTTTTCTCCAGTTTTGAGCATATTTTTTAATCGTGACTATATATTTTTATTTTATTAAAAACTACATGTCAAAACTATCACTTTAGTTTAATATAAAAATAAACTGCTACAACTAACCATATACCTGTCTCACGATATGACACTGATTTATTTAATAGAATTAATACCAAACTGGAAAATTAAGATTTCCAGTAGACCTTCTTAGTATTGACAAGTTTATCGCTGATTCAAAGTATTTACCTAACTTGGCTAGATATAATATTTGTAAGTTCAGCTCTGAAAATCATAATTAAATTACATTGTTGCCGGTTGACCACAGTGCAATCCGCAATATGAGTCGGCATCATTTAAAAATTATTCGAGTATAGTTTAAAGTTTTTGTTGCTCTAATATCTCACTATTTATAACAATCCCAATTATATAATAATCCGAAAAGTTTAAATCATCTCTTCAAGTCATCATTAATTTAAAGTTTGGGTCAGCCTTTTTCTTTGTTATCTTTATGGTTTTTCGAAGCACTTATACAGGGTGTTTCATTGGTAAATGAGCATATGTTAACTGCATATGAAGGTCATCTAGGTGGTTCCAAAAAACCCATACTTCATGGGTCTGTCGCCCTTTAAAACCGAGTTTTGTCAATTTTGCCGACTTCTTTCTAGGTTCATAACTTTTGAAACGCACTATATATTTTTTCATCTTTGGTATACAAGTATACATTAATTTGTTAAATCCAGTGACGTATTATTAATAGGGAAAATCCAGGTCCGGATTAACAAAAAATTTACAAATTCTTCGATACCTAAAATAACACCCTGTATATCATAATTTTGTATATGTGTTTACAGATTCGAAAAGAGCAGAAAAAATTGAGTTTTACCAAGGGGTTTCGGTATTTCCGCATACAGTTTTCTTACTTATTAATTTGAGTCAAATCTGTTTCGATAAAAATAAAATAAAAAAAAATATTTTTTTCGAAATGTAAGTGTTTTCACCTTTTCTTATATGTATAATATTTTACGTTTTTAACAAATATTACCACACTGTCGTTACAAGTACAGGGCGTTTAAGATAGTATTGAAATTAGAATTTTAAGAATGTTATACCCAATACAGACCTGTCATTGCTTTTTTTTAAAAGATTGAGATCCACAAATTAAGAGAATGAACGAGGTTAATTATTATTATAAATTTAAACTGGAAAAATAAATACTTAATTAGAAAAAAAATATTTTTTTTAATTTTATTTCATATTTTTATCGAAACACTTAGATTTGACTCAAATGAATAAGTAAGAAAACTGTATGGCAGAAATACCAAAACTACTTGGTGTAACTCAATTTTTTCTGCTCTTTTCGAATCTGTAAACAGATATTCAAAATTATGATATACAGGGTGTTGTTTTAGGTATCGAAGAATTTGTAAATTTTTTGTTAATCCGGACCTGAATTTTCCCTATTATTAATAACGTCACTGGATTTGACAAATTAAGGTGTACTTGTATACGAAATATCAAAAAAAATAAACAGCGTGTTTCAAAAGTTATGAGCCTAGAAAGAAATCGGCAAAATTGATAAAACACCATGTATCTGGGTTATAAAGGGCGACAGACCCATAAGGTATGGGTTTTTTTGGAACCACATAGGTGACCCCCATATGCAGTTAACATATGCCCATTTACCAATGAAACACCCTGTATGTATAGATTATATAGATTATTTTTTGAAACAAACAAGAAAATAATTAAGATAATGAAAACAATGGGTTTAAGGGGAACCTCTGTGGTTAGTTAATGGAACTGACTTTATAACTATTTAACTAACCATACATGAATACAAAATATTTTTAATATAATACAGATGAGAAAAATATTTAATTAACTAATAATTTTATCAAATGCCTTTTTGAATTTCAACTGAGTATGCATGCCTAAACTATTATGTTAAATTTAATTCTTAAATTATTTCAGACTCAGTTGACAACCCTTTGCGTTGCTACCAGCATGAATGCCACTGTCGCTTTGGTTTGCTTGTATTCACCGAAAGTCTACATTATAGTGCTGCATCCCGACAAAAATGTTCGAAAATTGACCATGAATAGCGCTGCTTACAAGAAATACAACTCTAGCTCTGCTCTACCTTCATCTTATGCTCCGGCTCCCTCCAGTGCTACGCAGAAAGGTAAGTAGAAAATTTTTGTGTCTTCTATAATTTTATTTTTTTTTCGGTTGCTTCATGGTTTGTTTAAAGCAGGACTTTTTTTATGTTGATTAATCACTCTCTGTGAGATAAAAATAAAAATGGGCTGTATAATTTAAAAAACAGAAAAATACAATTAATCTGCCTACGCAGCAAAAGGAAGCTTTCAATAATAGCTTTTTACAAAACTTTTAAAATTAAGCAACTTCATTCTATGAAAGTCTGAAAGCAACAACTTTTTTTTAAGACAAAGACCAAACTTGCTTCATCGACACATATTTTGATAAGTTCTGGAATAGTAACTCGAGCGTATGATACACAGAGGCGTACACTTATTAACAAAATGGATTCCTAACAACTTTAATTGCCTCCTTTCTCTTTGTAATATTCGAAGAAAATTATACTCACTCTTAACAGACCTTTCTCCTCTACTAGTGATCGTATAATTTAATAAGATTATTTTAACACTCACGTTGTATTTAATTCATTTATAAATTAATTCAGGAATAAATGCAACGTTTGGTGCAAATTTGTAAATTAAATTATATTAAAATTTTTTATGTTTCCGACACAATTACATAAATTGGACGATCCACAAACTGCGTAATTGCATTTAGTCCATAGATCTCAAAAACCCTAAATAGAGCATCGAAAACAAATTTTGATTCCCTACAATGCTAAGCGCCATGATAACTGAGTTTTCAGGTGGCATTACTCACAAGACAGGATCGGCGCAAGGTTGCGGTAGAGGATATAAAGAAGGAATAATTTTTTATGTGAAACTTTTCACAAATATTCGTCTGTTTAATAAATAATTTTTTTATGATTTATTGGCTACCATACCAAAACGTTTTCGAAAATAATGGTTGATAGTTATAGAGAGACTATTGATATTTGTTTGAAATCACTGCGTAAAATGTCACGTTTTCGCACATGCGATGGTCGGCCGGAGCTTCGGTCGAGTCGACCAGGAAAATTGCAAAAAAAAAGACTGACCCTTTAGGGAATTCTAAAATTAATCTCTCATGATAATATTAAAATTTAGTTCATAAAATAACATTCACACACAATTTTAAAAGAAAAATAATAATCATCTGATGAAATAAATCGACTGTCAAATGCTATACAGTCGTAGCTTGCTTTGTTTAATATTTTGATATAAAATTTCAATTTGTATGAAATTTTTATTTAGGATTTATATGGTAATAGTTTTGTTCGTTTCAAAAACTATTTTAAAAACTTTGTGCGTGAAGAAACTTTTACTAATTCGCACAACTTAAAACATTCGCTTCTTCGTCGCTAATGCTTCTAAATGCGCTTATTCGCGAATATATTCTTCCCGCACTTGGTTCGTAAATATTGTTACGCATGAGAATAAATCCCGTAGTAAGACCATCTCAATTTTTTTCTTACCAATCAAATATACCTGTTTCCCCAAGAAGTTTTTCAGAATCAAATAATAATATACAGGGTGACCCATTAAAATGGGGCATAACGCAACTGAAGACTCTCTGACTAAAAATAGGGGGTCCTTTTTATATTTTATGGAATATATCTCTTATTTACGTTTGGAGAAAAAAGTTCCTTAATTAAAAGTTACTTCTAATATTATTTTCTATATTTCTTGCCTCATACAAATTTTTTTCTAAAATGGTCCGTATTTGAGAAATTTGACAAAATGTGCAAAATTCTGATTTTTAGGAAAATTGTTAAACTAAAAGTTGTTTGCGATATCGATCTCAATAATATTTTCAATTTAATGTTAAATGTTAAATACTAAACAAAGATGATTTTGAGTTACTTTTAAATTGAATTAAATTATTTAATTATCATTGTAATTTATTTATTTATAATTGGAGTATATAGGTATAACCAATATATTATGATCGTTGCAATTTGAAATTTATTATAATTTGTAATGTATGCAAATAGCATTTCAAGAACAGGAAACTTTAAACTGTCAAAGTGTTGTTCCTAATTTTAACCTATAAATTATTAATCTCAGTTACTCACAACCCACATACTTTGATTACTATACGGTGCAAGAGAAAGGTCCGACACGCCCAACATAGGGCGCGGCCATTTTGATTCCTATGCCACAGTTTATAGCTAAATAATCAGATCGCTCACTCTGCGACGGCACTTCTCCAGTTCTCAATGTTCTAGTTTATACACTGCGCAACTCGGATAATACAATATATGACAACCGCTTATAATAAAACAGCAGTCTTCTGCTTATCCTGAATTTGTATTCCTGGAGTGGATGTTATTTTGGAACTTTCAACTGGTCCGAGTGAGTTAACTGATTCTTTAGCAATAAACTGTGACTCCAAAAATAATATTCACTAACACTGACAGCGGCAAGCAAAATATCAGGTGCGTTTTAATCATCCGCTTCTGCTTTCGGAATTGTCGGTTTAGTCGTTTTAACCTGTCAGATTAAAACAAGAAATCCGACAATTCCGAAGCAGAAGCGGATGATTAAAACGCACCTATTAAAAATATTGCGCCAAGATGTAGGCAACACGTAATAAGGCATCAAAATGGCTTTTAAAAGGCACTCAGAAAGCTGCGTAGTGCGACCATTCTCCGTATAAGAGAAAATCAAAGTATGTGTTCACAACTAATAACAGTGTTCCCCTATTACAGAACACAAAAACTAAAAATCAGTGTAGTTAATACATAATCCAATTATCATGGTGGCTAGTAGGGGGTTATTTTATTGTATTCACTGCATACCCATAGCGGTATCAAAATTTTCTGAACATTATGATTCCGGCCTATCCCTGAATAGTTATTTTATCTGCATTTAAGTAAATCTCAATGTAAACTTCCCTTTGTTAGAATTAGATACGCTAATTGAATTTATTAATTAAATAATGTGTACTTTTATTGCAGTAAGTTCTGACGGTACTGAGACTATTCTAATGCAACGTATTGGGGGAAACACTGCCACCACTACAACAACTAATAACACTCCTAACACACCTTCAAGAACCTCGTGTAGTGGAACAAATGCTGAGCCGATGGATAGCATAGCCCTGCTATAGGGACGGCCTAATAATGACGTAAGTACACTTTTTTTAATTATTACATTTATTTTATTTATTAATTTGAGATATATTTGGCATTGAGAACGGTCGATAGAGGCAGGCGACTGTGGTGCGTTCATATAGGGCATTTCAACGTTAAAAAAACTGAGTATGCCTGACCTTTTTTTTTATACAAATTTGTCGTTGTAGTTTTTGTTCATTATTAACTTAAATAATAATAACTTTGTGTTTGTGTTTCTAACATTAGCTTTTTCATAAATCTTACGTTTTAACTACAGTTGCTTGTTTTATTAAAATACATTGAAAATTAGAAGTAATAAAGCTAAAAACGTATTTACGTAATAAAATGAAAATACATTCCATTCTACTAATTTGTGTTTTTGTGAAGTATTTGCGAAAATTCTGGCAGCAGAGGTGATACATACTGATCTTTTGTGTCATAATTACAGCAACTAATTGTTGTATGCAACATATTTTAGAAGATGTATCTAATATGAAAATATTACGAGCAGTATTTAAGATAATTCAATCAAACTAATTTTGTTACCTTATTTATTAATAATTTATTAATAATTTAATTAATAACTTACTGAAGACCACTTTAAGCAACTTGTAACGGTTTTTAACGATTAGAACCGTTATTTCGATCACAATCACCTCTTACTCAAATGTCATTGGTCGTCTATGCTTTGTATCAGAGGAAGTGACATTTTTATTTTATCTAGCAGACAGCGACGAATAGTTCACTTCTATTTTTAATTTTATTTCGATCATCCGAAATATTAATTTATATTTATTTATGTTAATGACCGTCTGATTTTGTAAGCCTATTGCAATCTCTAGACGGTTTGGGTTTGAATACAAATAAGAATCATTTATCTTGAAGATCCCGAATCACTTGGTTGAAGTTGCCTGACCGATATATAATGTTTAAGGATTGATGTTCCTCTGCAGTTTGGGGCGAAAGAAGAAATACTTGATTTTTACCTTTAACTAATCAATAAATTGTTTTAAATTTGATTTATATGCAAACTTATGTGAATTAGAATTTGATACCTACCTTATCTAAAGCATTTTTTAAGTATAATTTGTTAGTGGGTAGTGATTTTTAATATTTTTATCACTATTGTAGAGTTAAGTGTATAAGCTTTAAATATAGTGGTGCCCATCTTCTTTTTCAAAGTTATTAGAGTTATTTAAAAACCTAACCCACGCTCTATAAATTGAGCTCAAACATATATATCAAAGTAGATAAATGAACCAGCTAATCATGTTACAAAAATGATGCTCCAACTGGGTTAAATAGCTCTTAACTTTAAAATAATTTCCTTATGACTTATCGTTCTAATTCCCATAGGTATTTCACAGAGGTTAACTAAACTAACTGCATGTCTTGCATTTTTACTAATACTTTCTTAACTCTTTTTTGAACCTTTTCTATACATCTGCATATCGTACTAGGTCAAGTTTTATATAATAACTGCATATTATATTAGGTCCAGTATTTATAAATATTTCATTATTTATTTTCTTTAGGTTATTTTATTTTTAAAAAACATTCCGAAGAATCCATTATACCTACTGTTAATTGAGTTATAATTCGGCCATTACCGAAATATGTTTAACTTCTTTTCTTTATTTAAACGAACATTATTTTAAATTATGGATTTATTTATTTAGTATCCTTAGGTTATTTTAATTTTGATAAACATTCCAAAGAATCAATTATACTGTTAATTGAGTTAGAATTCCGCTATTATCGAAATATGTTTAACCTCTTTTCTTTATTTAAATGAAAATTATTTTAAATTGTGGATTTATTTATATTATCCTTAGGTTATTTTATTTTTGATAAACATTCCGAATAATTAATTATACTGTTAATTGAGTTAAAATTCCGCTATCACCAAAATATGTTTAACCTCGTTATCTTTATTTAAAAAAAAATTATTTTAAATTTTGGATTTCATTATTTATTTTCCTTGGGTTATTTTATTTTTTATAAACATTCCTAAGAATCCATTATACTGTTAATTGAGTTAGAATTCCGCCATTACCAAAATAGGTTTAACCTCTTATCTTTATTTAAACGAAATTTATTTTAAATTTTGGATTTCATTATTTATTTTCCTTAGCTTATTTTAATTTTAATAAACATTCCGAAGAATCAATTATACTGTTAATTGAGTTAGAATTCCGCTATAACCGAAATATGTTTAACCTCTTTTCTTTATTTAAATGAAAATTATTTTAAATTGTGGATTTATTTATTTATTTATTTATTATCCTTAGGTTATTTTATTTTTGATAAACATTCCGAAGAAACAATTATACTGTTAATTGAGTTAAAATTCCGCCACCACCGAAATATGTTTAACTTCTTTTCTTTATTTAAACGAAAATTATTTTAAATTATGGATTAATTTATTTAGTATCCTTAGGTTATTTTAATTTTGATAAACATTCCAAAGAATCAATTATACTGTTAATTGATTTAGAATTCCGCTATTATCGAAATATGTTTAACCTCTTTTCTTTATTTAAATGAAAATTATTTTAAATTGTGGATTTATTTATATTGTCCTTAGGTTATTTTATTTTTGATAAACATTCCGAATAATTAATTATACTGTTAATTGAGTTAAAATTCCGCTATCACCAAAATATGTTTAACCTCTTATCTTTATTTAAAAGAAAATTATTTTAAATTTTGGATTTCATTATTTATTTTCCTTGGGTTATTTTATTTTTTATAAACATTCCTAAGAATCAATTATACTGTTAATTAAGTTAGAATTCCGCCATTACCAAAATAGGTGTAACCTCTTTCTTTTATTTAAACGAAAATTATTTTAAATTCTGGATTTATTTATTTATTATCCTTAGGTTATTTTATTTTTGATAAATACTCCGAATAATTAATTATACTGTTAATTGAGTTAGAATTCCGCCATTATCAAAGTATGTTTAACCTCTTATCTTTATTTAAACGAAAATTATTTTAAATTTTGGATTTCATTATTTATTTTCCTTAGCTTATTTTAATTTTAATAAACATTCCGAAGAATCAATTATACTGTTAATTGAGTTAGAATTCCGCTATTACCGAAATATGTTTAACCTCTTTTCTTTATTTAAACGAAAATTATTTTAAATTTTGGTTTATTTATTTATTTATTTATTATCCTTAGGTTATTTTTTTTTTTTATAAACATTCCGAAGAATTAATTATACTGTTAATTGAGTTAAAATCCCGCTATTACCAAAATATGTTTAACCTCCTATCTTTATTTAAACGAAAATTATTTTAAATTTTGGATTTCATTATTTATTTTCCTTAGGTTATTTTATTTTTTATAAACATTCCTAAGAATCAATTATACTGTTAATTGAGTTATAATTCCGCCATCACCGAAATTTGTTTAGCTTCTTATGTAAAATATTCTGAATATTCAATTGTACTGCTAATTGAGTTAGAATTTTCGAATTATTAACAGCATTTGTCTTACTGTTTCATATTTATTATCTTAATTTTGCTATTATTTTTGTGTGTAATTTGTTATAAATAAAGACAGTTATTATTTGGGTTTAATTTCCCCGCCGTGGTTACCGTTGCTTTGAAATATAATATTGTATATAAATTTCCTCTGATTCTTTTAACTATACCCCCTTTTATCTAGCTTGTCCAGAATCATTTTCAGAGGAATAGGTACAAAAGTGATTGCACCGTTTTAGGTTGTAGGGAAGTGGATATTATTTTTAAAATTTTTATAGATACATCATACGCAAATGACCGCCTGGAGATACTGACTCCACTAAGGTTACTTTGAGGGCACTCTAGATACGCTTGAGGGTCGCAGAGCAAACTGCGTAATAAAAACTGGCGCCCGGGCAACCCAGTCAGATGCCACCCACGTCTTTCAAATCACACAAGTGAAAATAGAAGACGTGTCACACCTAGATAACAATTATACATTCTTAACATATTTTTAGTATAAATTTTTTGAGAATATGTATATGCTGAGAATATACTTAATTTGCATTTAGAACATTCTCAAAAAATACTAAGTTTGTTTGTATGTGCTATACAAATACTGAGAATGTACTCTAGTATGAGTACAGTAATTCAATAAGTATCTACTTTCATTTGATAGTACGTTCTGAGAATCCGGGGTAGAACGGGGTACTTCATGTTTGAAATTTTTTTTGAGAAAATGTACCTTCAGATCCTAACAATTTTTCCTTGGAAGTCATATTTAATATTATTTCCAACGCTAGTTACAAACATATTTTATTGTTCCCTTTTCCTTATTTTGTTATCAATTTGTTTGTTAAAATTTGCACAATTCCCCGTTTTGCCTCACCTATGGGGCACATCGGGTACGTTCGAACCATCTAGAAAAAATAATATATTTAGGATAATAATGGTTAAATGTTGCTGCATAAAGATCAAGCTTCATGGCTACAACGTATTGAGAAGATTTAACATTATTAAACAACATTTATAATAAATTATAGTAGTTCAACATATACGTGGGGCGGAACGGGGTATGCCCCGTTCTGCCTCTCCCCATTTTGCCCCAGAAGCATGCGTTGCGATTGTGACTAAATAAATAACAAAAACTTTTAAACTAAATATTTTGGTATGAGGAAAAGGTACCCTAAGAGAGGGGATATCTTCCTATTCCTCACAAAATATAAGGCTAGTAAAATTAAACACTTTTCGTTGTTTCCAAATTCGTCAATTTTTACAGTGGACTTTCTTAGATCATGCATTCGACGTTATAGCTCTTGAAAGACTACCTGTAAGGTCAAATATATTACCAACGCATCCGTAGGATATAGCGAGATGAATATATATTGAGATGGCGGTCCTGCGCTAACCCGCGAAAATTTGTAACGTGATACCCCGTTCTACCTCGGTATCCCGTTCTATACTCGGTTCACCTATTTAAGTTTAGCATATAATAGGCATATACTAGAGACCCATTAGAGAATAAAGTGTATATAATGAA